CTAGAAGGGCTCCAGTCCTTGATCTCCAATTTTGATGACAATGAACTAGCCGTAGGAGTTCCTAGCCAATCCGACGTCCGCCGAGCTCTAGCTCAAGTCCACGAGACAATATCCATGAGCATTCACTTCACCGCAGCAGAGAGACTCGAAATTCTCCTGCGTTGGCACACAGTCTGCCTAGATACAATGATCAACTCGACCGTCCTCTCCCGCCACGTCTGCTCGCGCTACAACATCATCCAACACATCTCCGGTGGATGTGGAACCGTCCGCCCGGGCTTCGATCTAATCAAATGGGCTAATTCAGAAGACGCGCGGCGGGCCGTCCTCCATGCGGTCGCCATTCAAGATATCGTGGAGCAATTACCACGTGGCCGCGCGCATGTCGTGCATATGCCTAGCTCCTTGTTTGCAGCAGCGACAATATACGTTGTCCTTTCACTCGCAGGAGTCGCCACTGTGAATTTGCCTCGCAACATCGTTTGGCAAGATGCATTGCTATCGCATTCGGATCTCAACCTGGGCGACGAGGATATCCGACCTCGATCTGGCTCGGAGACGAAGCGCTTCGTCGAGAATGGAAATAGGTCTTCCTCTCTTCCACTTCCTATTGGTGGCGTCGTCAGGAATCTGCTTTATGAGCTCAACTCTATGCAAAAGCTTTTCCGGTGCTTGTCTTCACAGTGGGGTATTGCGCATGACATGGAGGATATTATTGCACAATGGATTCAGCTTTGCCATTAGGTGGTCCGACAGATTTGATCTCTGAGTTGACGAATGTTGATCACATGAAATTTTACTTGTCTATTGGCGTTGAGGTATTCTCGAGAGTGCTTATTGAGTGACACATGTTCAAATCGTTGGCATATACGTATATACCCCTCACATTGAATCTGAATGTCCATGTTGAAGAAGACCCCACAGATGCTAAGCTTGTTCACATGGTCTGAAGCTGATCAAGGACGCTGCTGATATTCTGTACACAAGCGCTCGAGCTGCTATATTGTGTGTTGAGTTATCCTCATCTCCAGGTCCAAAGCCAATTTTATCACCAGTCGGAGTCCCCCGCAACACTCTTCATGAGTGGAAATGTGCTCGAGATTGTGCTAAATAGAATTGAAACCTATGCGGAGCAATCAATTTGGGATGATCACGTGCCCGTGTCGAAAACGCGGGGTAAACGCGACGCGACACGCGACGCGCCTCCGATCTTTCCGACCCACTTCCAGTGTCATCCACGCTCCCTTCGGCTCGAATCTAGCCACTGGCATTCTTAATCTCCTTGATCTGTGGGTCCAGTGGGCTATCCATTTGAATTCAAGTCAATTGATCCGACCGGGTGGCAGCGTGACGTCCCCATGAACAAGACCAGATGATCGTCAATCAAAGCAAAGACCCCACAACTCGGCACCGGCTCCAGCGATGTCCTCAATGGATTTTGCGTCAGCCCGTGGGACCAAGCTCAATGATATAGTAGTCGATCACCGCCCCAGCACGGGCCGTGGCAAGAAACTTACACTTGCGCAAGAGGGCGTTCTGAAAAGACTCTATGAACAAAAATTGCCCACCGTGTCCAATGGCGAGCTGCCAGCAAAAAAGTTCTGGCTGGATCTCGCGTCACGATTTCATGAGGAGACCGGTCGCGAGTATTCATGGTTGTCTGTGAAGCGGCGGGCTGCAGGTTGGCGGCAGAAGTCTCCAGAAGTTGACCAGCGACTGGATGCTTCTCATGCTAGCAAGCTCCAGATTGAGGAATTGGTGATAGAGCCTAATCATCAAGATATTTCTCATCAATCCCTATCGGAGCAGAATTCATACGACAGGAAACAACCCACGCTGCCACAAAGGCCTTCCCTGCACCCGCAGGGTTCGAATACCCTGGGGTTGTCTCAAATCGAAAGAAGCCCGGGTGTTACAGAGCCAACCCAAGACACCAGTCGGAACCTCGAATCCCTTCTCATATCCCAGCCTCGCACTCGATCAACATCGCCCCAACGTGTATCGCAGCCTAAATACCGTCACCGATCTCCTTCGACAATGAGACGTACCAAACTTGTCTCCAAACGATTGCATCACGAGCTAGCCTCTCCCGCTGATGGAATAGTCGAGTCTGGCCCCGACCCTTTGTCCGGCTCCTCTGGAGCTTATGAAAATGTGCAGCCCAGTTATCCGGGTAAACGAAACCCTGCTGGATTCAACCGCATCCGCGAGTCAGTTGAGAAAAATGAGCCGGAGAAGCACGCCCGTGATTCAGCAATATCTAAGCATGGAGTGAATAAAGTCAGCAACCATCTTCTTGCGTCGCCAGACTTAACTGGGCAAGATGACTTACCACTGGCCCCAACTCGGATTATGAGAAGACGTGTCGCAAAATGAACGGGCCTAGAGATGCCTAGAGGAATGACTGGAATAATATAATGTCGCATATGAATATTGTTTAGAGATCAGAGCGATGTGTGACAGACCAAACGAGGAACTGAGGACAAATCATTCCCTCCCGCCATAATAGCCACCTACATAGTTATCCCCCTCCAAATCAGACAGATCAGTTGTTCTTCTATTTTAATGAAGGTAGTTTCCAATTTCCTACAGGACCGTTAGAATTACAGATCTACCTACAGAGGTTGATCTACGCCGTTGGTGGATCCTCTAGCGTTGCATGTATATATTGCCTAATCGAGGCTAGCGTTAGGGCTCCTGTTTAGACATCTATTGAAGAGCGGACCCTGCAACGGGGAAAGCAGGGGCACTGACAGCCCTGCCTGCGAAAAAGGTATGAGAGCCGAGTCGTCACTGGGAGTAGTAGGATACTAGAGAGGAGAACACCATGCGACTACCAAGAAGAGAAGTGGAAGGTGTCTGCGTTAGGGTGCCGCTTAGTCATCATATACTGGAATCCACCACTGCACTATATAGTTCTCCTAAGTTGGCAGATCCTAGGTTGGGTAAACATAATTGTAAATACTGACAAACGAAGAACTGTAGAAGCTACATACTGTATCCATGTACATCTAGATTTTAATCCATGGGCATCATGGGCGACCAACGTTGGATAACCACTATGCAGTGTATCTACACAACTAAGATAGATTTCTACTTGAAATCATACGTGTGAAGTCGCATCGTCCGCGTAGGTTCGTTTGTATCGTTTGTCTCGACGACTAAGCGCCGAGAATCCACGGCCAGTCGCGTTAATCTGATACCTTTAAATTGTTTGCTCGGATCTTCCTCCTCCTCTTCCTCTCTTCCACCCAACGCAACTCAGAACCATTCTTATTCATTCACGAGAACATAACCGACTTGCATTTGAATCATATCAAGCTTACATTTATTCTGCCATACTATCTACCGCAAACTGTTCATACCGCCAAGATGGGTAAAGTGAAGTGGGATTCGATCGCTGACCAAACTGTGAGTTTCTTTTTCACTTCGCTATGACTTTTGAATTGCCCTGGGCTTTTGTCTAAGGAGGGATGTGGATATTCATACTTTCTTGTATGACCTTATCAAATGCCTTTCAGATTGACTTTTGCTTTGATCATCCCCAGCTGCTTGGACAAATTCATGTTTGCGAAAGTCTTTCCTTGTCTTTTTCAAGATTCTTTCCCCATTCTAAGTCTGCTGGGACTTTCTATGTTCATGGACTGCATGCATATCTGGCAATGACAATTGTGACTGACAAACAAAGCTCCTTGCCAAAATCCTCGAGACCCATGACTTGAGTGTCGATGTGGCCAAGGTTGCCGAGGCCTGGCGTAAGTCTTTCGTTCTGCAGCCACAACTAATTTTTATACCACTGAAAATGTTCAATCTAACATTTGATCAGCCGTCGAGGACGAGGATCACAGGCCGACACCTCGTGCTCTCAAGGAACGTCTCAACAAAATCAGGGAGAACGTTCGTAATGGCAGTGTCGCGGCGGCGTCTGGACCCTCTAGCCCGGTTACCCCAAAGAAGCGCGCCCCTCGCAAAAAGGCCAATGATACCCCTACTCCTGCTGGCTCTTCCCGCAAGCGCAAGCGCGTCACAAAGAACGCCATCGCCGATGAAGACCAAGTTAATGTCAGGGAAGAGGAAGAACTGCCTGCGAAGCACGAGCATTCTCTCGATGAGTCCGCTATCAAGCAGGAAACTGGCCTGGAGGGTCTCGCCCCCCTTCTTCAGTGGAACCTCAAGGAGGGATCCCCCGATGGCGACAACAAAAAGGTCGATCCTGAATGGACCGAGTACAACGAGGAGGACGCCTACTCAGATGACCAGCTCAAGTAGCTCAATGGTCATTTTCAAGGTGGATTCACGTCAGCCGCCTGAGGTTTCGGTGCCTTGAACGCCCGTGGTCAATATTCGAATTTGCGTTTTACTTGACGTTGGGTCTCCTTGTTTCTTGTGGGGTGCTTTATTATTCCCCAACAATGCGTGTGACCCGGTCGTCAGAAAAAAAGGAAAAAGCCAAAAAAAAAGGTTGATGAACAACTCGGTTTGTTTCCACCGTGAGGTGATGGGGGAAAAAAGAAAAAAATACAAAAAAAAGCCTGGTGCCCATTTATTTGGATTGCGCCGAAGGACATAGCTGAATTGACAGCCGACTTTTTTTGTCGTCTACTTTTATCCTGTTCTTGTCGTACAAAGTTAAAGGGATAATGGCTGGGATCAGTAAAAGTATTTTATTGCGAGTAAGGAGACAAATAGCCGAGCTCATTGCTATTCGCTGTAAATCCATCTGATCATGACCCCTTCTGAATTGTTCAATTGCATATCCTAATTCTTGCTGATTTTGAGATTCTGGAAAACTCCCCCAGCTAAAATCCAGATACTATCTCCATGCTGACACCTTCACCACGTCGACGCGTTATGGCTTCTCTGTGAAGAGTCGCGGTGATGGCGTTCAGAGGTCCGAGGAATCTTCGTCCTCTTTGATGATACCGTCAAGGAAGAAGGTCCTCGATCAAACAAAATCAGTACTCTAAATTTCCATCGGTATCATCACAGATTACAGAGACTTACTCTTCAGTCTCCTCGTGCTTTATTTTGCACTTCTTGTCAGTGGCATCTTCACCGTCGATTTCTTCGTCCTCGGGAACTGGGTCTTCTCCGCCAGATTCGTTATCAGCATCCTTGTGCTTTGCGGGTGCGGCCTTTGCAGACTTCTTTGGAGTCCTGCGCTGGCGCTTCCTGGTCACGGGCGAAGCAGGGGAAGAGGTGCCACTGCCATCATTCATCTCTGCAGCCTTAGCCCGAAGGCGAGCTACCCGGTGCCGGATGGCGCAGGCTGTGACTCCTATAAGTCTAGCTTAGCATAGTTCCTTTATTAGCCCGAAAGATGTTGGGAAGAGGGTATAGCGATTGAAACATATTTCCAAGTTAAATTGTGTATGGCAGAGATCAAATGGGAGAGGATCAGTGGAAATGAATTTAGTTCGGTGACAGCCATAAATAAAGTGCATAACATAAACAATATGCGCTACAGTCCGAGTAAAGACTGCAGTATGGGACTTGGGGGTTCTCAGAGTAGCACTAACCATCACCCATATACTCAGCAAGAGCATTAAAATCAATCGGGGTAGGATTTGTGGCGAGTATGCCGGCCAGTAACTGAAGGTAATGATGCTTAATTATTGAAACACAACGAGGATGTCGAGACAGCTAGGCCAATATAAAAACATTGGAGTTAAACCATCGCCGTCACGGGTCACACCAACGTCCAAGTCAAGGCTGTAAGGCGACTGCGGCTCAAGGCGATCACCAAGACTATCAAGGATATGGAACAAACCAATGGTAAATCGGCAACGAAGGGAAATGTGAACTTACCTTGGCATCGGCCTTGTCGTTCCACGTGACCTTCATTGTTGCTTTGGTCGTTAACGAGCTAGAAAAAGGATATCAGTATCCTTATGAACAAAAGTGACGAGTAAATTAAGAGCATAAACTGAATCTCAAGATGGTTGGAAGTATATCCTGTTCATAGAGTACATTGAAAATGAACGTACCGGCTAGTAAAATAGTGGTGATATGAAATGAGGAAACTGTTTCTAAGAGAGAGGAAGAATTTATGGAGAGTGAAAGCAGGAATGTTCGACTGAAACTGTACGGGGCACAAATAAGTCGCTCTATCCTCTTTTGCTTTCCATCGCCATCTCTATAATTACTAAGAGTGGGATGTTTATTGACTTTATGGAGTGGAACTATATATATGTGTAGGAGGATATAAAGAAACGGGAAAATCTTAAAATGATAACCAAAGATTAAGAAATATACCATTACTTGGATCAGTTCCTTAGGTTATCAGAAGTAGCATAAAACAACACTTGGGCAGTGAAAGGTGAGGTTATATTCCCTGGGCCCCGAAAATCAAAAATTAACCGCAAAGCTCTTTCTATGATTATAGCGTAAAAAATTGGGTCTTTAGAGGTGTGGCATTAGCCCTATAGACTCTAGTCTCCTAGCATGATGTTGCCATGAAAATAAGAAAGCATCGGATGTTGAGGACAGAGGCAAAAGAAGACGCTATCTAATCAGCTAAATAAACTAGGCAAGACGATTTGGACAGATGAAGAACTTCCTGGTTCTACGTAGTGAAGAGGGAAATACACGATGGGCAGCCTGGCCATGCAGGCAAGACGAGGACGACACAACAATACCAACCATCCAGGACGATTAGCTAGTAAGTATAGGGATCATGTAGACTATACCATAGTATATAATCTCCTAGCGTATAAACATCTCGCAACTTGTTTTTTATTTTAGGGGTGATGCTCCTTCTAGACTATCTGCTCCCCGAGACTCTACTTTATAACCAGGCTTTCGTTTTCTCTGCCTAAGGGATAAGGCCGCTAAACTAGGTATCCCGACTTTCCCTACTATATACTACCCCCCTAAGAAATTGACCGTCCCTTAGTTAATATATCGCTTTATTAATAACCTTAAACTTAGTATCTATATTATTATTATAGCCGCCCGCTTTAGGCAGAAGACCTAGATAATGTCTCCGAAAGAAAGAATTTATCCTAAAAACCTTCTCTTCTATCTCTTATATTATATTAAATAACCTTATATATTCCCACTATACCTTTACCCTCTAGTCCTAGATATATACTATAGCGGCTGCTTCGTTTTCTCTAAATAGTATATTAAGTTCTAAGATTACTACCGGAGTACTCTACTTAGTCTATACTATTAATCCTTATAAGATAGTAGACTGAGTATAGAAGTAAATGGTAGCTAGGAAAGGGAAGGGAATATAGCTATACTATTAACTAGTAAGACTAGAGGGTATCCTCTTAGTATTTATTAGCTCCCTATAGGTAATAGATAAGTCTTCCTAGGAACTAGATTTAGGAGTATCTAATATTAAATAATTATCCTAGATTTATATAAACTATAGTAAAATAGTCTATCTCTATATAGTTACTAGCCCTATTAATCTATATAGAAGAGTAGGTAAGGATAGTTATATATCCCCTACTTAGTAGACTTAATTAACCTAGTCTATCTAGTACTTCCTAATATCCGCTACTATCTATATTAAGGGGTTAATCTAATAAATAAATCTATTAGTAACCTTTTCGCTAGTAGGGTCTATAGTAGCCTACTACTAAAGATTAGTCTATTAAGTAGTAAGATAGCGCTATATACTAGGTAAAATTATAGTATAGTTTCTATAGTCTTTATTATCTAGTAAAACTGATCCTTAGAAGATAGACCTAGCTCTTCCTATTTCGATCTAGTCCTTTATATTTATATTAATATATTAGAAGTATATCCTTTCCCTAGGTATTATACTCTTAATATAGTAGGGAAATGAGACTAGTTTCTATATATAATCTAGTTAGAAAAATATATAATAGGTATAGTAGGTAGGGTCTTATTTAACTACTTACTATATTAAGCTATACTATATATTCTATAACTACCTAAGGTAAGGTCTACTATAGTAGGTAGTATAATAGTACTTATATATATTAAATTTATTATAAATTAGTAGTAGGATCCCGCTAGGGTATATACTATTAAAATTCTCTCTTAGCTAGCCGAAAAGCTATGGTAGTACTATACTACTATCTCTAACTATACTCTAGTAGAGGATATAGGGGTCGAATTAATATCTAGGTATAATCCTTTTATAAAGACTTATAAATAATAGCTAGGGTATATTATTAAAAGATATAATAAGGGGAATATTAGGTACTATATTATTTTAGTAGATAGTTAGGGTCTTATCTACTTTTACTTTATAGAACCATTCTATATAGTCCCTTCGGAGGTTATCTTAATCTTTAAGGTAACTATAGGTATAGCTGAGTTACCTTATAAGACCCCTATAGCTTTTTATATTACTATATATATATAGTATTTCTATAAGCTTTATAGTATAGTTCTAGTAAATAGTATCTAGGCTAAAATCATTATATATATATCTACCGATAAGTCTTAGTACTACTAATACTTCCCTTTCTAACTTTCCCTATAGTTTATTTAGGATACTATTAATAGTTATCTTTAGGTTCTCTTATTTATAGTAGATATATAGTCTAGCTCTTCTTATCTAGGTTCTAGTTATAGCGATAGTAATATTATTCTAATAAAGAAGTAAAGGGTCCTCTATATCACTATCTTTATTTTTAGTAACCTTATTATCCCTAGTACCCTTATCTTTATCTTTATATTTATAATTAGAAAACTATTAACTATTAAGCTTACTAAGTTTACTCTCTAATTTATTAGGTACCTTATTATCTATATCTAGAAGATCTCTTTTAGATCTAGCCTTATAGTAAAACCTATTATTATTAACCTATATATTTAGATCCTATAGTTCCTTATATTTTAAAGGGGTTACTATCTTCCTAATAAATACCTATCTAAGATCTCCCTAAGTAATAACTAGGTAGGAGTAGATATCCCTTTTCTAATAGCTCTAGCGCTATATAATCTTATTATTAATAGTAAGCCTTAGATCTTAGTAGCTAATCCTTACTATAATAAACTTACTAACTTCTTCGGCTATAGTTTTTATTATAAGGTATCTAAATAGAGCCTATATATTTCGATTACCTTATTAGGTAATAGCCCTCTATTATACCCTATCGATATAGGCCTAGTAGGCCTACTTATATTCTTAGATATTAATAGCCTTCCTCTACTAGTCCTAAAATTTATTGAAATTCTCCTATCCTTCCTATAGCCTTTCTTTATTAATAAATTATAGTAATTTATAGAGGAGCTATTCTATATAATTGTGGTTTCCTAATAAAATTCCTAGTAGCTAAGCTAATAGTTAGTATACTTTCTCCCTATCTTAACGTTATAATTTAGTAACTACTTCTTCTATTAAGGTAATAGTTTTACCCTTAAAGGAGAGGCCCTATAGGGTAACTATTATAGCTCTATTCTATATCTTATCTATAAGCTCTAGAATATTAAAGGTATAGCTCCTAAGATAACGCTTTTTGTTGGAGTGTGGCAGAACTAGGCATAATGCTTTGTAATGTACTCTCGAGGGGTCAAATGCGTAGTATTTAAATAGATAAACAGCTAGGCGGTCAAGTGTCAGGTCAAGATGAGATCAAAGTATATATCATGGGATGAAATAGTCAATTTGTCTAACTAATATTCAGTACAATTTAGGGCTTTCTTATAGTAATCAAACATCGCGGATAACTTGGTAAATCAAAGATTAGATGATTCATGACTTCTCTTCAGATGAATCATGACTTCTCTTCAGATATAATAAAGCAAGATGGGATGTAATAAAGTAAGATAGGATATAATAAAGTAAGCAATCAATGACATCATCAATTATATTATTAAAATAGGAACATATATTATTCCAACACACCCCTTTAGATTTTGACCTTAGTCAAAAGCTGCAAACATGGGATAAAATAGGAAAGAAAGAACAGATCAAATATTGTCGAATTCGGTTACCCGATTAGGCAATCGTCTTAAATTCAGCTGGTTCAAGAATTCGAGGTATTTTTGGGACGAAAGGTGTTTCGTTAATCCGTCGGCAATCATAGTGTTTATCGGAATCCATTGGAGATATATATCTCTATTTCTTACCTTTTCTCGTAACCAGTGTTTGTTGATATCCACGTGACGCAGTTTCGTCTGATATAGCAAATTGGATTTTGTCATCAGATCAATTGTTTGCTTATTATTACATGATAATATTAGATCGTGTTAGGCGTTGAATTCAATTGAATTGAGTAGTCTTTTCATCTAAAGAAGGTGTTTAGCTGCTTCAGAAAGTACAACTAATTCAGCTTCCGTTATTAATGTCGTAACAACTCGCTGTTTTCTCGCTAACTAATCAATTAGACCACTAAATAGGGTGAAAATGAAGCCTTACGAGCTTTTTCGTCCAATATTGTTAGCAAAGCTTGCATCTGAAGCTGCTCGAAAGATATATGGTGGATCACATGACCCGTCAAATTTAATGGAATGATATCTTGTCCCATAAAGGTATGAGATTGTTTACTCTGTAGCGATTACATAACTTCTTTCTGGCTTTATTAGCCATTGAGAAAGTATCTGATATACGAAAGCAACGTCGGGTCGTGTTATAATCGCAGCAAAACCAATTGATCCTACCAATGATTAGTAGTGCTGGATTAGCTGTAAATGAGCTTTATAGTCAGGTATATGAGCAAGATTTTCACTAGGAAGTGGTATTTTTAGTGGCTTCCTATTAGTCAGATGGAATCGGTGGGATATCTTCTTAATATATGTATCTTGATTCAACCAGATTTTTCGTTTTATCCGGTTTCTGATCACATGTATGCCGATAAATTGGGTCAATTCGCCACAGTCTTTCATCTTAAAGCTCTGATAAAGACGATTTCTAA